AAGTGACACATGGAAAAAGGAGAAATTTCCACTGCCTGTGCTGCTTTATGGTGTTTATCAGTTTTTTATTGTTTCTTTCTTGCAATCCTTCTCTTGCAGTTGGGTCTTTTTGTGGGAGAAGGGCTACCAGGAAACAGACTCTGTGGTCAGTTCTGTAACCACAAAGGTGAAAGGAGTAACGTTGACAAACACGTCCACTTTGGGAGCCAGGATCTGGGATGTAGCTGACTATGTCATCCCTCCTCAGGTATCAATCACTTTCACATGCAGAGGGAGGGTTTTCTAACAAACAGCTACTGCTCTGCCGAAGTCCTCTGAGGTCTGGAACAGCTTCGGCTCCAGCATGGCCTTGGTATGAGAGAATGAAGCAGCTTTGTTGCAGATCATGCTGAGCACCTGCACCACTAGCCCTGGGGAAGCTTGTTTCAAGAAAAGTGTGTCTGTGTGTGTGCTTGTATAGGAGGGAGAATTTTGCAGGCTTCAGGAAAAAGTTGCAACAATAACCACATGTCCTCTTTCTTACTGCTTTCTAAAGCAAACAACTCAAAGTTAACTTGTTGGCAGAAACCCCGGGAATAGCCTGCAAGTCACTTGATCCGGAACTGAACAGGAGGTATTGCTGTAGTTACTGATTGACTGTGTCTGTGGGAATCTGCACTCTGTGGGCAATATATGGCAACCTTCAGGGTTGGCAGGCACGGCCAAGCTGCTAGTCATGGGTCGCTCTGTCTGCATGAGATATGGTGCAGAAAGAAGTGACAGATTTAGCCACATTTTGGCTGAGTGATCATATTTGCATATCGGTGGAGCAGAAGCAAACAACAGATCGTGAATCGTACAGATCTGAAAATAATGGAAGTGGTGCTCCCTGGAGAAACAAACCAGGACAGGTCAAACTTCTAATATATTGCAAAAAAAAGAGTGGGACTTGTGCTCAGTCTTGCAGCTGGAGCTTTATTTCTGCTCATGCCTTGCGACTCCCCTGAGGAGCTCTGTGATCTCTGTTTTCATGATGCAAATTTGGGCCAAGTGGGAGGACAGAAAGGGTTGCTAGTCCCACAGTCTTTCCTCTGCCTAAAGGCAGCGGTATCAGGCGATACATGTGGGAATCTGCTCCTTTAGTGCTACAGCAGCACTGTCCAAAGCAAGTCCCCTCCGCGGGGCCACCTGTCAACAAAGACATTTGGGGCAGTGCCTCGGATATTCTTTGCAGACTGTCACTCTTAAATTTCCTTCTTGTTTTGCATGTTCAGGAGGAGAACACTGTGTTTGTCATGACCAATGTCATACTCACACTGAACCAGCGCCAAGGCCGCTGCCCAGAGGTAGGTACAGGATCGGCTTTAATCCTGCCTTGTGTGGGTGGGAGTGTGGCGGAGAGAGTTCGTAGGGTTTAGTGTAATTATTGTTTCTCTCCAGCTTCCAGATGATAAAACGGAGTGCAAGGTGAAGAACAACTGTGTTCCAGGATATGTCAGCACCCACAGCAATGGTAGGAAGCCTGCTGCAAGGGCTCCTTTCAGTCTGTGTTGTGATACCTCTGTGCTGTGCCTCCCTTCCTGTGAAGGAAGCAGCATTTCACTTCAGTCTCCTTGTTCTCATTCTCTCATACCTAAGAGAACTGAAAGGGAAGCTCAGATTTTTCTTCTGGGGGAGAGCAGATGGGCTTAGACTGTGTTAGGTGGATGCAGAATAGATATGTGCTTTGGTGAGTTAGCAGTGTGAGGGCTTTTTCAAGACCTTGAGTCCATGAAGCAGTATTTCATGTAGATGAGGATTTGACTCAGAAAAAGGACCTGGTGCTTCTTTCTCTGAAACTGCACTACAAATTGCAATGGAAGATAATGGGGGTCTTGGTACTGGCACTTCACCTCTGAGCAGATCGCTCACTTTTATGGAGTGAGGAGGTATCATGGCGCAAAGACTGCCTCTGTATTTTCACTTAGTAATGCCTCCATTCACATATCTTCCCAGGCATCCAGACTGGGGAGTGTGTCCCGTACAACAACAGCATCAAGACCTGTGAAGTCTTTGCATGGTGCCCTGTGGAGGATGACTATCATATACCCAAGTGAGTGCTCTGTCTTCCTACTCTGTGGTGGCCCTCCTGAGAGGAGGCTAGCGATACGCACCCGATGTTTCTCCCTATGGGGTACTATGGGGAAAAGCTGAAGACGTGATCACCAAGTACCTGCAGAGTCCTGTTTGTGAAAATATGAGTGAAACTCATTTACTTTTCCTATTGTTTTGTAGGCCAGCGTTCCTGCAAGAAGCTGAGAACTTCACCATTCTGGTGAAGAACAACATTTTGTACCCCAAGTTCAACTTCAGCAAGTAAATAGCATGTGGGGCATTGCACTGTCTGCTCTCTTGGACAGTAAAGGGGAGCTGGAGGAGTGGAAGAAGATGCAACAGATCTTCTCTCTCTGTTCCCCTGTAGGCGAAACATCCTCCCCACTGTCAACTCCACCTACCTCAAGAACTGCATCTATGACTCCCAGACAGATCCCTTCTGCCCTATCTTTCGTTTAGGGAAAATAGTTGAAGCTGCAGGGCAGAACTTCCAGGAAATGGCTGTGGAGGTATTTAGCAGACCCTTCTCTTGGGCCTCAGCTGTGTAGAAGAGGAGTGGTAGGTGGTTGTCCCCCCCTGCGTCGTGGCGTGATCCACAGGACACAAAGTAACTGCAGAACGAGAGCTGCTCTGTCCAGAGGGACTGGAGTCAATTCTACTTCACAAATATTTGGCCTTGGCTTGTTTGGGTGGGGTTATGTGCAAGGTCCTTCTGTAGCAGGGGGAAAGAATGTTTGACTGGGACTTGGGACAAGGGCCAGAAAATCAGGGTTCTGGTCAGCAGAGAGCCTAGTGCTGGGCTGGCAGGGCACTTGGACTGCTCACCTTTTCCTCTCCTCCACTTGGCAGGGTGGAGTCATGGCGCTGCAGATCAACTGGGACTGCAACCTTGACAGAGCTGCTTCCCACTGTGTGCCAAAGTACTCCTTCCGGCGCCTCGACAACAAGGACTCTGCCCACACGGTCTCGCCTGGCTACAACTTCAGGTAATGTGGCTATGGAGGGCGCCTGGTGTCCCTGCGGCTCAGTCTGCCACTGGCACAGTGTTACGGGCTGCCTGCGTTCCTCTGGCAGTCGCGGGTAGTCCTTGGACTTTCGATGGTGCTGTAAAACTTGCAGAGTGCCTCTGATGCTGTAAAACATAGAGCAGGTCGGATCCTCACTGTGTGCAAACCACCGCAGAGGGGGAAGGTTAGTGAAGCTCCACTGATTGCATCAGTGTCTGAGTCATATTTGCATCAGCATTTGTGTGACCGTTTGGGCCAGCCTCCCGTGGCATGGCAATGTGAGAACTGACTGTTTCAGGGTGTGCTGATAGGGCAGTATTTGAGAGGGCAGGGGTGTGGGGATACGGTACATTCTGGCCAGTACGGATAGGTCCAGCACCTCCAGTAAAACTCCCAGTGCAGAGCCGGTTAGCTGGTTGCATCCAGACTCAGAGCTACAATAATATGTATGGGCCACCTTGCCAAAATCCTTGCAGCAGTCCTGCTCATGAGGGAACACGGCTCAGGGCTATGCTTCTTTCTAGAGTCACAAACTCTCACTTAGTGCAGGGGGTCTCTTTTGGTGGAACTTGCATGAATTCACTGGGAAGCTGCTGTCATGCCGACAGCACAAGCGTGTGTTTGGGAGGTGCCAGGCGTGCAGGTATTGGGGTGTCAGGCGAGACAGGCTGGAGGATATCGCAGCCTGGCTGGTGCGGGTTCTGAAGTGCTCTTGCTCATTCCAGATCGTGGTGCAGCCCCTTGCCAACCCTTCCTCTTCTCTGCCACTCTCTTCTCTGCTTCTTCCTGGCTTAGTCAACCATGTGGTGGAGTAAGTCTGATCTCACTTACTTGTTCTCATCCCTTTTCCTTATCATTTGCCTGCGAGTCACGTTGTGTGGGACAAGGAACAGCCTTTGTGTGCCAGGCTGCGCTGTGCTGCCTCCCTCGCTGCCTGCTCCCGGCCCTGCCCTCTCGTGGCTGCCTGCACTCCTGCAGCCTCCTGCTTGCCTCTGAGGGGGCTGATTCTCATGCGTAGCTGAATTTCTTCCAGTCTGTCCTTCTGCTCCGCTACTAAAGCTAACTTTCTCCCCTCCCTGTGCTTTAGAAGTCTCCTGCTTTGGCTTGAGCTAACTGCTGTCTTAAACTCGCCTGTTCTGGGCTTTTCTCCTATATGTGCTTGCCTGCATGAAATCTCCCTCCATCATTTGGGGCTTGTCTCTGGACGTACCAATGTTCAGGCCATCCTCTTGGGATGGGGGACACACCTGCATGTTGCATGATCAATAAGCAACCTCAAAACTTCCAGCTAAGCTCTGATCTATCTTTTCTCCAGGTTTGCGAAATACTACAAGGATAGTAATGGCACTGAATCACGGACGCTTGCCAAAGCTTATGGCATCCGCTTTGATATCATAGTGTTTGGAAAGGTAGGGTGACTTAATTCCTAGAGGTCTTGCAGTGAGGGCTTTTCAGAGATGCTGAAAAAATATATTCACCTTTGTAACTGTCTTCTAGGCAGGAAAGTTTGATGTAATTCCTACAATGATTAACATCGGCTCTGGCTTAGCGCTGTTTGGCGTGGTAAGTGACATTGTCTGCACTTGGACTCAATTCTGGATTATTGCCTCAGTTCTGAGGATCATTGTCTTAAATTCTTTCAATCTCCACTAGGCAACAGTGCTGTGTGACATTGTTGTTCTGTATTGCATGAAGAAGAAATATTACTATCGGGAGAAGAAATACAAATACGTGGAGGATTATGAACTGGTAAGCATCAGTGAAGGCAGAGTGAAGTCAAAGTTGCTTCCTCCTCTTGACTCTGGAGAGATTCTGAAACGGGATTTAGAAAGTCCACATCAAAGAGGGATTTTGAACCACAGCTCTGAGGAAATTTTGTCTTCCTCAGAGAAGCTCATTTTTACCTCAAAGCTGTTGCAGGGAGGAGCACTAGAAACAAATATTGTCATGTTTCCTGGGCAACCACTCTTGGAGAGGGAAATGTATGTTCAAGAACTTGTCATGCTCCTACTGCACCTCTTTTTTGGGGGTTGCAGTCCTTGGCAGTCGCTTTCTGAGAGCTGCAGACAACAGCTCTGTCCCCATCGTATCCTTCCTTCTTGGCTTTTGGGGGTTTCTCCTGCTGTAAACAAACCCATTCAATGGGTTGGTATTTTCTGAGACCAGTATGCTGACAGCCACAGCTACGCCTCCCTTCAGGATCCAAATGATCCGTTTGGCTAGTAGAAGGATTTAGTGGCGTAGTGGCATTGCTTGACTGGTGCTGAGGGTGGAGCTTGGCCCTGCAGCCCTGTGCTTGGTGGGAAGTGTTGCTGCAGAGGGCGGGTTTCTGAATCAAAAGACCTTGTGGCACTGGAAATGTAAAGTCTGAGTAGCAGAGAGTAGCTTGCCTGTGCAGATGGTTTTATGTGAGAGGAAGGGGGAGAAAGAAGAGTTTTCTGGCAGAGAACTGTAATCTCTGATCCTTGCAGGGAGTCGGTGAGACATATGGAACAAACTCCTGACCTCCTGCTGCTGCAGCACCAGCTGCTGCTGTGAACTGATGCTGTGAACATTACTCTGACCCTGCCTTGAGACCCACCCCATCTTTGTTGGAAGGAAGAGGGGAACAAACCTGAGAAAGGGACCTTCTTCACTACTCTTCCCTACTTCTGCTGTTTGGAGCCAACCCCCAGACAGAACTGGGTCTGCTGTCTTTCCAGGTTAATTGCACTAAGTACATAGGGAGAATTGTGCTTTTATGCCAGACCTCTGTACCAGGTAAGCCTGGGACAGGGACTGCTCCGACATTGTCATTTTGACAGTCCTTTCCCTGAGCTCACCGGTAGCAGAGAACACAGGGTAACAGGCACAGATTCTTCCTCACAGTGAACGTGGTCCCTGCCAGGTGTTGCCTAACCTTGGGAGAGCAGCTCCTTGCTGTTGTCAAGTCACTTTTCCTTGCCCTGAAGGATTGTGATGCTTAGCTGAGCCTGTGCCTACTATTTAATCATGTATCCAAGCTCCAGTGGCCACAGACCGAGACAAAGTGGTGTCTGGTTCCATTGTACTATGGTAAATGGCTTACTGGTTACAGAATTTTTTTTCTGTCTAATTTTTACTTTAAAATTTACTTTCATTTTAATAAAATATTACTCTCTCAGCCCTCTTGGAGTCCTGCAAGCTGGGTTTTGCTTGTTTATTTTTCCCCAGGGTCTGTGAAGGTTAGGGTCAGTGAACTGTCTTCATTTTACACAGATGGTAACTGTTACTGGAGAGCTATCAAAGCCAGTACTGCTGTCTCCTTTGCCTCTTGATTCTCTCAGCAAGAGTGCTGCTGCAACTACAGCTTTTGCTGCAACTACAGCTTCTGCTGCAACTACAGCTTCTGCTGCAACTACAGCTTCTGCTCCACCTTGGTTCTCCTAACACCTTGTCTGTGTCTGTTGCATTAAAACCCTATCCAAGGGAAAAGGCTTGAAAGTTAGAGGCCAGGGTGGGTTAGCCTAGCATGGCCTTAGCCAAACGCTAGTACCAACTGGTCAGAAGAACAGATCTATTATTCTCTGGCATACCTCCCATGCTTTTCACCACCACCCCCAGACTCTGCGTCTGGGCTGCTGCGTTTAATGGGTTTACACAATTTGATTTAAGTGAATTTGTTGGCTTTTATCCTCACGTGGCCTTGAGCATCTCTTCTGATTGCACTGGCACACAAGGTACAGCTCTTCCCTTTCTCTGAACCTTTTCTAGTGTTACAGAGCCTGGGACCCATTCCATACTTCCAGCATCCTGGCTGGGGCTTTGCTGCCTTTTTCCAGCAGCACGGTGGGTTTGCCACAGCTTTATTGTTTTGTTTTATTATTTATTTGCTTGCTGCTAAGCACTAAGCTGAGGGTCACAACTCAAACGGCGCCTTTCCAAGAGCCAGCGCTCTGGTCTGTGCATGTGAATGGCTCAATTTGGATTATGCAGTGGCTAGAGCCACTGCGGTCTCACCCTAGCCCCAGATCCCCAGTAATGGTAGAGCACCAGACTTCACTAACACAGGAAGGTGCTCTCAGACTGCTCTTCCAACAAGCAAACTCTCATAGCTTGATAAAGACCAGTCAAACAGGATAATGGTTCCACTTGATCAACTAACTCTGGGTTTGGTTGCATGTCATTTATTTCAACTTGTACAGAGAAGCTTGAACAGCTGTGTGGAAAAACACTTAGTAGGTTTTTTTTTTTTTTCTTTCTTCTTAGGTAATATAATTTAAAAGTGGTAAATACACAGTATTTAAACTTGATACACCTGATAAAGTTAAATGCATAATAAAGGGGTAGGAATGAAACACAAGCCTCGGTCATTAAACAAACAGTATAAAAATCAGCAATAGTTCAGGACCTTAGAAAAGAAACAGATCAATTGCCTGATAGGTAAGAGGGGACCACCAAGAAAAACTACCCAAGACAAGAGGCCTGGTTTCCCCTTAGCACTTTCCTGTGTGCTTTCAGAGCCAAAAAGGCTTAGTACCCAGCATTAAGCCCACAGTCAGCACTGGGCTTGCTTGAAAGGAAGGGAATTGGGGAAATCAAGCTGTAGCCCAGTTCCAAGGCACAAGCAAAATGTTTACTTCACTATAAGAAAAAAAGCTAGCTTTACTACTAAGCAACAGCAGCTAGGGAACTGAGCAGATACATATGTACAGTACAGCTTCTCTAACAGGTCATGCATTTAGATAGGTCTTCCTCACACAGCCACGCTTTATGCTTTCAACAGAACTAATCAACAAGAAAAATCTACATTGAGTTTCTTTCAGAAATGTGCATTTGGCTGCAGCCCTACCAGAGCTAGCACTAGGAGACGATCATTTTGGAGGGTGCCTTAGGGAAGTGCTGAGCTTTAGGATGCTTATGAACCAAGCCCGTGCTCGCCCTAAGACACTGATCTATGGTAATATCTGAGGCCCAGTAACTATGTGGCTGGGCGTCGAGGAACTGATACAGCTTATTCTGTTTAGAAGCTGTGTTGCACCGGGCAAGCCTGTTTGGTAAATGTAAACTGTCTCGCTAGGCACCTGACAAATCACAAACTGGAGATACGCAGCACAGAGCATCTCTACAACTCACCTTTGACAAAACACACCACACACATTACTATGCACCAGCTATAAATAATCAGATCCCCCCCCTTTTTTTTTTTTTTTTTTGGCAAAACAAGTCCATTTACAAGGTTAGAGAACCAAGCTGCCCACTCGCACGCATTTCCGCAATGAAAACTCCTGTTTAGGAAAGAGGGAGCAGGCAGCTGTAGTAGTGCTGGCACCCAAGTTACCTGTTTGGTTTTCCCATAGCTGAAGCTGCAGGGCTTTGGCATAGCCTCGGACTAAAACGGGAGGAAAACAGTGCATGTCTTATGGCTCCAAACTCCATAGTACTGCTCCTAAACCACGAACCATCGTCACTGGCTTTGGAGAGAGGCCAGCAGCACAATGTTTCGGTAACAAGTTGCGATTTAGGGGGAGCATTGCTTCAAGTGATCCAAGGATATAAGGGACGGTTTGTGTAGGCACCTGCACACTTGCCAACGCTACGCCAGCTTTAACAAAGACCCATCCTAACCAGGAATTACTGGGCCAGGTCCAACTGTAGCAGAGCCAAGGACCTCAGTGGTCTGCTGCTTGCAGTGCCCAAGATCAAGGAAGACAAGGGGACCGTCACTTCCTAAAGGCAGGGCACCTGTGGCCAGGGTTAGCAGGCAGAGATCTTACCATTAACAAAAATACTTGGGTCACTCCTAGTGCCTTCTTCCTCAGGGCAAAGAATTACGCCTTAGCAGTCCCTTACATGCGTAGGACATTTGAATCCTCCCCCTCTTTCAGGTATGCCGTCATTTTAAATGCCTCATTCAAGGTCACACAACCACATCAGACTGAGACGAGAAGTAATCAGACCTCTTTCCCCCACAGTCCCACACTCCATCCACAAAACAACTCTACTTACTGTGACCCCTTGCCCCAAGCAAACCCTGACTCTTCTCCAGCTCACCCACACTCTGCCGTTCTCCAGCTTCGTCCGAGCACAGAGAACTTGGGAAAGTAAGTCTGGACACCAGAATCTCTCCCACCACACGATAGAATTTTTTTTTTTTTTTTTTTTTTTTTTTTTTGTACAAGCACCACAAAATAATCAGAGTAATCTGACTGGAGGTGAAAGAGCTCTTCATAAGAAACAATCCATGAATTAGGTATACACTTAATTTACTAACAAGCCTCTGATCCACAGGCATTCACAAATTACTGGTAACGAACTTGCAAAAAATACATAGCATTGGCCCCAAAATCCAGATTAAGAGTTTGGAAAACAGAAGTTTCTTTGAAAATTACTAGCTAATCTAAGTATTTCATTAAGATCTTAAATTCTAAGCAAGCCCTAAGTTTATACTTAAAAAATAGCATAAGTTGTATTATTTTTAATTGTAGTAAACCATGTAATGTACATGGAAGTGAAGGATTTTACCCTGAATTTTATATTTAATAATATATCTACCTAGATCAAGTAAAAGATTTAGAAACAAACTGTTGTTAGTGCTTCCTCTGCTGTTCAAAACAAACATTCAGCTAAATACCACCTTCTCGTATGTCTGCAGCAAGAATAGTTCAGACTGAACTTAAGCCCTTAAATACCTTTTCCTTTCATACTGAATACTCAACTTACCAAGTCCCGGTCACACCAAGACCTTAGGAAAGGCGTTAATTGCCTTAGGAGGTAATTAACCTCACTTTCTGAACGTTCTGAAGATGCTGTTTAATACAACTTGGCTCACAAAGGTAGGCATTCTTTTAAAAGCTGAAAAGGTGGGTTTTTGCTTTGTTCCCATGCAGTTAAAAAGGTGTCAATTAAAAACAAACCATAACGACGAGAAATAGATGCAACAACATTTCCGGTAGGTCGGACCGGAGTGCGCACACGTAGTTTTACTGTTGTGTATGCCACTTGGCAAAAGCTTCACCCTTCTGCGTGTGCCCACCGACTACGCGATGGGCATACGACACCCCTGGGATGCTGGCGTTAGTCCCCGGAAATTATTTGGCATTAAAACCAGGTAAAAGCAGTTCCAAATGCATTTTTGTTTGACTGCTTTTTTTTTTTTTTTTTTTTTTGTTTGCAAAGCACTGTTGCTGCTCAACACGATAGCTCACCTCTCTGCTATCAGCCAGCACCTCTCCCACAAGAAGTCAGCAGTCCAAGCGATCGGAGATGTTCAATGTTTATGACAAGTAGTCGGATGTCTTATAACATGCTGCTATGTAAGCTCTACATCCAGCATTACACTGAAATAGCGCCATGTCATGCTGTGTTTGGTGTAGGCTCTGTTAACGTTGCTCATCCTCAGCTGCACATTTTAATAACGTGCCCCGGACCAAGTTGCTCAACAGAACCGTAAAATCAATGTTCATGAAAGAAGTTCCTCCTCTCCCACGTTGGGCAAGTCATTGCATTTCAGATTATCTTCACTGCCTTGTTTTCTGCTTTAAAAGGAAATAAACCAGTTGCTGAGCGACTCAGAAAAAGGCAAAGCAGACAATGAAACACCAGCATCTGCCCCTTCCCTGCCACGGGACTTTTGGGACCCTGAGCACGTGTTGTCTCCCCCCAGCTTCCCTGTAACAGGCTGGAAGTGCCATAAAAAGATGCTTTTCAGCCCATTGGAGGGGCAGGATATGCCATGTCACAAAAATCATCCCACAAAGCGGTTACAGGTCAGACAGAAGGTGTGTGAACCTGATTATGGCCCCACATGGAAGATTCAAAGCCCAACCCCTCGAATTCTCCTCCTGTGCTTTGCAGCGATTTCCAGAGCATTAAGACAAGCTGCAAACATCTTTTTAGGCTGAGGCGAGGCGATGACACTTACGGCAGCAGGTTCCCAGGGGCAGACAACGACCGCTCCTCCCTCCTGCTCCCCTCGAACGGGTTGCCAAAGGATCGCTTCCGGATCATCGTTTTAACCAAGATCTGCAAAACCACATTGGAGTTCATCAGGGATGCTTTCCTTTCATTCAAGAGCAACGGGAACATCCAACCCTCATGCCCAAGTAATTAAGAAAACCAGTGGAAACAAGTCAAAGTTCTCTTTTAAAAAAAAACAAAACAGAAGCAAGCATGTTTACAAGTCTCCAGCTGCTTAATACAGGGGCTGTATCCTCGTCTGAAACCCACGGTGCAACAACTGAACGTGCAGATGAGAGCCACACTAGGTGTGAGAGGCTGGAAGGAGAGCAAAGTCAAGTCTGGGACGACTTTCTCCCCCCAGAAGTAGGTTTTACCGATTACTGCATCCAGTACCTGCAAATTCCCAGTTCCCCACGATTACCTGGCAGAAGAATTCATTGGAAATGGAGAGGGGAAGGAAGGAACCGGCACAATTTTGCCTTAACATTTACCAAAGCCAAGTTGAAAAATTGGCCGTTTGTCTAGCTTTGGCTGCAAAACACAAAAGTTACCCAGCGTCAGCTGCAATCGGAGACTGCTGAGGACAGAGCAAGTGTCAGGGCTGTTCCCAGGCATCCCCCAACTTATTTTGCTGGTGGGAGCAGAGAACAACATGAGCAGCACCGGACCCTGCCTCGGCACGTGCATCCCGCTCTGGGAAACCCTGGCTTCATTTGATATTGCTTCTCATCCCTCTGTGCCTTATTTATCTGCTCACCCCAGTGCACCGAGAGCCCTTACATATCTGAAACGCACATGCCAGCAGGGTCCTGCAGGGGAAGGCATTTTATGCGAGAGTCGAAGCCACATGAATCTTGTACTCGAGCGGAAATGGCTGCAGTTGGATGCACAAAGATCAGGCACCGGAGAGTAATTTTGAAGAACAAATGCAAATGGGAAAATATAAGATCTGCCTGGAGGCGGTGCGTTATTTAAGAGGCAAGAGTTGCAGTAAAAGCTCATTTGCCCTGAGCTGTGCTAAACACACCTGGATTTTCAACAGGGCTGGGAGCACTGAGCCATGCTCCGCTGCATCGCAGCAAGTCACCTCCGAACAGGAAAAAGGAGGAAAACCCCTCATCAATGGTGATCTCTTTAGAGCAAGATCTGCTTTTTCAGCTTGAGCAGCTCAAGGCACATTTGCATCTTAACGTATCTGCGGTTGAAGAGACTTCTGCAGGGTACCGAAGCGGGAGAGAGCTCCAGAAATGGAGCTAGATGTGGGCACAGCCACGAGATGGAAAAAGGGCTTCAAAGGGAGACCTGTACTTCAAAAAATCACAGCCTGGGTGTCTAAAGGCAGATAACGCCACACCAGGGAACTGTGAATGGTCGCTCGCTGTTTCTCCTAGCATAACGGCAAGCGGGCACCCAAAGAAATCATTAGGTTCAAAAGCCAAAAGGATTTCACTTTCCACGCAGGGCAGGGTTACACTGTGCTTCTCACCACCACAGCGGGTTGCAGAGAATAAAAATATGAGCTTGAAAAGAGATGAGATGAATTCACCAAGAATAGCTGCAGGCGGGGGCTGGCGCACGCCGTGGCCCAGATAAAATCTCCATCCTGGGAAGCTCCTGCAGCCCCTACGGCCCGATGGGCAGGAGCTCCTTGTGCCTGGCCAAAACACCCACTGCTGGCCGCGGGCAGGTCCTGGGCCAGATGCTCTTTTGCCCTGAGCAAACACAGTGACATTTAGGCAGCCAGCTCAAGCGTGAAGACCGGCAAGCCGCTTACGGGTCCCTTTGGGACCGCTCTGAAATATTCCCCTGTGCCGCGGGGTACGGCCACCTCCATCGAGATGCTGAGACCCTGTCTTGCAGCGCTTGTTTCTGAGAGAGGGAAGATCTTTGCTCTAATCCTGCCCAACGCTTTTGCCCTTCAGCAACAATCTCCAGCTGCTTGGGACCGCTCCGGGAGGCGGCGTGGACCTCGGTGTGTGTCCGCAGACCGTCACCTCCCTCGTACTCACCACGGTGGCCAGGCTGGGGATGTGCTTGACCGAATTCTCCACCTCCTCCTCCGTCACCTCGACGAGGGTGCAGTTCTCATCCTCCGTGGGCAGCAGCTCCGCTCCGTTCTTGGTGACCCAAGGGTGCAACTTCAATTAATAACACAGCCTGTCAGGAACGATTTCCTCTTTTTCGTAACTCAAACAACACAAGCCTGGCAAACGCATCTCCTTGCCCAAGCTATGGCCCCTACGTGCTCCTGAAATACCAGGGAGCAGGGGAGAGATGTGCCATCTCACTGGCAAGCAGCTCACCCCAGCGCCGCTGGGAACGGCTCAGCCCAGAGCAGAAAATGCCACAGTGGGGCTCATCCAGAGCCAGCACTGGCTCCATCTATGCAACCGAGCAATAACCTTGGTGACCTACAGCACTGGGCACCTCAGTGGGTTTTAGGGAAGACGACCTATTTTCACTCTCATCTTATGGATGAGACAGCACCGAGAGGCACTAGTGATTTATTCAGGACCGTACGTATGAGCAGTAGTGATGGGGAGACCCACTGAGCCCTAGTCTTGGACCTGAATTAATCCATGACAGAAGGCAGAAACCCTCTTTCTCCTTGCCCACGGACCTGGCGTCTTGGGTGGCTGCAGGAGGAGCACAAAAAGGTTCAGCAATTCCCCCGCAATCCTTTCCCCCTACCTTAGTCTCCATTTTCTCAGCTTCTCGCCCCTTCCAGGCTCCTGCAGGGGCGAAGGACCAGAAATCTCCTGCGAAAGGCTGTTGCACAGTACTTTCCTGGTAGCAGAGGAAATACTGTACTCAGGGGATTTCCTTTTGCCTGTGACTTCTGTAGGCACCAAAGGTCCCAAAGCTAAGCAGGTCCCGGAGCAGGGGAAGGAGCTGGGACTTACCTGCCCAGGGGCCCTGGGCACAGGGGGAGGACCTAGCCTGGCGCGATCAAACTGACTCCCAAAAAAAGCCGAGCAAGGAGAACCCAACAGAAGTGAAGCCACAGCCAACACCAGGGGATTGGGTCAGTACCTTGATTTCTGGGACCGAAATCCTAGATTCGGGATTTTTATCCAGCATCCGTGTAATCAAATCCTTCAAGAAGTCTGTAACTTCTGGTCTGGGGAAAGGAGAGGGGAGAGATGAGATGGGGAAGGGGATGGATGCTGCCACCCTTCTTCACCCCAGTGCCCGCCACTGTGGGCCTTCCCGGGCAGCCCTGGCAGGGATGCAGCTCTGGGTACTTGTGCACACAGATGCCACGCAGGCCTTCCTTCCCAACCCCCCCACAGAAGCAAAATATCCCCTTTTTGGGCAATCCAAAGTGTGATCCTGTGTGTACGGGGCTGGGAGAGCCCGACACCAACTCCACCCAGGCTACAACCCAACAGGCAGCAACTGCAGAGGTTAATCTGTTCCCTCAAACACCTCTGCGACTTAGAATCACAGAATAGTTTGGGTTGGAAGGGACCTTTACAGGTCATCTAGTCCAACCCCCCTGCCATGGGCAGGGACATCTTCAACCAGATCAGGTTGCTCAGAGCCCCGTCCAACCTGACCTGGAATGTTCCCAGGGATGGGGCATCTACCACCTCTCCGGGCAACCTCTGCCAGTGTTTCACCACCCTCATGGTAAAAAATTTCTTCCTTACATCTAGTCTAAATCTACCCTCTTTTAGTTTAAAACCATTCCCCCTTGTCCTGTCGCACCAGGCCCTGCTAACAAGTTTGCCGCCATCTTATAAGCCCTCTTTAAGTACTGGTAGGCCGCAATGAGGTCTCCCCGAAGCCTTCTCTTCTCCAGGCTCTTCAATCGCTCCTTCTTCGGCAACTGCAAACCAAGGGATGTTGCCTCCTCGTTTAATGCAAAGGAAGTTTTCCAGGGCCGTGGGCCAACAGAAGGGCTCAGAACCTGAGCTTTGCAAAACCGCAGCAGAGCAGGGCCAGCCCCACCCCGGCAGCCCCTGAGAAACGGCTCAAACGAGCTTTAAAATAAGGACTGAGGGTCTGTTTCTGGTTTTGTTTTGTTTGTTTTGGGGTTTTGGGGTTTTGTTTTTTTTGTGAGTACTTACTGGTCTGGGAACTCCAACATTTGAGTCTTGATTTTATTGTGTAAACTCAGGATCCTTTCATCCATAAAAGGGCACTACCGCAAAGAAAAAGAGTAATGAGAAAAGCAACAACCTCTGGTAAGAAGCGGGCAAGCTGGTCGAGCATCGGGATCTCGTAGGGTTTGAAGGAGAGCAAGGAGCCAGTTATAGGGAAATACTGGAAGATTTCCTATTATATCAATGTCTTCTCTTAAACACAATGAAAATAACATTTGACTAAAAATGACCAAATTACTACAACAGTTCCTTTCCTAAAAAATCTGGCTGGGCACAGTATTTTTTCCCCGGGGAAAAAAAGAGAAGCACGGCCCTTTTGGCTGCACCCACCCCACGGACAGGCAGAGGTTTCCCATTTCCACCCACACATCCCCGTCTCTCCTCGGCAATACCCGACTGCTCGAACAAGGGTGCAGGGTGCAAATCCCACCGCGTACTTGGCATATGGGAGGCACGCGCCAAACCCCCCTGGACCACCAACAGCGCTGAAAAAAAAAAATCAATCTCATTACCTGCCCAAACACGAAGCAGTACAGCGTGATCCCCATGGCCCAGACATCCAAAGCCTGCAGAGCGAAGAAAGCATAGTTAGATCTGCGCCAGACAGCGTGTGCAAGGAAGATTAGTCCAAAAACCCTCAAATCACTATTAAATACCTTTCCGGAGAAGATTTTCCTGGTTTCCGAGAGCGTCTCCGGGGCCATGAAGGCAGGGGTGCCCACCGTGTTGGTTAAGAGGGCATCAGCTCCCTTGAACTCATTGCTCACTCCAAAGTCGGCGATTTTGACATGCCCGTCTTCCCCCACAAGGAGGTTGGAAGGTTTAATATCCCGGTGGATTATCTTTTGGTAGTGCACTGCAGCCGAAGGAAAAAGCGATTCAGCAGCAGCACCGGTCTGCAGCAAAGGAGCCATGAAGACCCCGCATGGCTGTAAGCCTTTCTGCTAACACCATGACCAGCCCCAGCTTCAAAAACCCTTGTGCAGTAGCATGAGCCACCAGAAACGGCACCGTACACCAGCAGAAAGTCCAGGTCCAGGTGTTTAGAAAAAAATTAAAATAAACAATCCCATCCTTTTTGCACAGACACTCACAGTATTCAATGCCCTTGATCAGATCCTGGAAGTAGAACCGAGCCTGGTCCTCACTGAGAGGTTTCAGGGTTGGGATTTCCATCACGGGGCTGCAAAGGCAACAGAGAATGGAGCTCGTTCCCCATCCAGATGCACCGAAACTGGTCCCGGAGGCTTTGCTGCCAGCTGGCGACAGCACGCGGCCCCAAACACAGGCACGTAGTGGGTGTACGCAGCTGTAACTGGGTTGGGGAGATGCTATCCAAACCCAGAGGGGACCCACCACGAACCTCGCAATCGCCTCTGCGTCTCGCGCCCGCCTCAGTTGGCCGAACTGTGCCACCCGCAAACCCGTCTCACGTTCATGCTTTAGTAGGTTTAAATCTGGAATTCAATACTCACCCTTGCTTCACCAGTTCAAACACTGAAACACAAAAGAGAAGGTGATTACGGATCACTTACAGGTTAGAGCTCCTGTGAGCAGAGTCTCAGCACAAAAGCAGTTATTTTCATGACAAAAATTCTAAAAATAATATTTTTTTTAAAAAGGGGATGCCATCTTATGCAAGGCACATGGCATGTTGGTTGCTTCTATTTTCAATTAAGGGGAAGCTGCCAACTACCTTCTCAGTGCTCCAGCTTCAGCATCATGAAGTACCCTCCACACGGCACACTAAACCCCTCACTTTGCCTGCAAAAACCAAGGCCGAGCCCACGCCCCGAGCAAACCTCTGCGCTTGGCCATGAAGGCATCACACGCTCCTCTGCTAGTACAGGCTGAACATAAATGATGAAAAAGAAATGCCTCCTCCAAAAGCATGTAGGTTTACATGAAGCAAACCACTGCAGTCAGCAAGACAGGTTGGGAAGTGGCTCATTTTACCGTGGATAATTTTACCGTGGTGCCTTGTTCTCGAAGCCAAAGAAACAAAGCTACGTTCTAGCAGCCCAGCTTTAGAGCTGAGAACATAAATGCTGGTACCTCTCATGGAAAAGCATGCCCTGATGTCGAATTAAAGCCTATAAAGTGCTATAAAACACTCCTGTCTCCTTTCTGAACCCAGACTGAATCCCATTTACTCCGACCATTAGAGAGGATTTGCTCCTCCAGCACATCCAGGCCATACCCGCTCCGAAGGAGAGACCCAACCCCACATGCAGCCACCCCGAAATGTGGGGGGAGCCCCAATCCCCCGACACCCCGCGAGCGCCGCAGGGCGGTGGGCAGTTACCCATGTACAGGTGGTCCTCGCTGGGGTCATCCAGGACCTGCCGAAAGAAGCGGAAAGGAAATTACACAGCACCAAAAAACCTTGCAAATTAAACACTCTGATTTTTTTCTTCAGCTGCCATCTCAGTTCTGCACCATTAGCATGGTCTGCTAATCTCCGAGCTCCTACCCACAAGGGGTGGGGTGGGGAAAAAAGGAGAGATGTACTTCAAGAAAGTAAATATTTAAAATACACAGGAAGCATCATCTGACTCATGAGCCAAATAAACTCCAGCCTGCACATCCTTAATTCTTCATTTTTGGACCATTTCATAGAGTCAGTGGGTGTAGGGCAGGGCGGCTGCACCGCAGAAACCGCAGAAATGCCAGTTCCTTCCCAAAACCCACCTGAGAGCTTGTTTCCTCCAAGGAAGCAACATTTTTCTGCATCTCCCTTTCTAGGCAGGGAAGAAAAAAATCTTCTTTTGGGAGGTAAGAATAAAAAAAGCCTTTTAAACCAGGGAAAACACGAGTCTCTCATAGGCAGGACCTGCCATGGCCATCCCCGCCCCTCTGCGGTCGCTCCCCTCCGCCCAAGCCAACGTGTAGCCCATCCCCGCAGCATCCAGGCTCCTTCATGCTTGGGGTGGGTTTTGGGAAGGGGCTGGCCGGCGCTTACCTCCACCAGCTTCACCACGTTGGGGTGGTCCAGCTTCTTTAAGATGGCGATCTCCTGGTAGACCTGTTCGATGGGTCCTTTGGGCTGCAGGCAGCCCTCGGAGGCAGCTTTGGCCCCGCGGGGCGGCGGGCGGCCTGCGGGAAAGGCAAAGCCGGGGTATCTGGTTGGGAACGAGCCCCCGAGATCCCCAGATCATCTCCCACCCTAAAGCTTTTTTGCACTACTTACGGGGGAAACCCGCCTGTCTCATCAGCTTCTTTTTGGAGAGAACCTTCATTGCCTGCAAGAGGGGAAAAAACATGGGATTTGGGGCAAATCAAAGATAAAATGGAGCTGATGGGATGGGGCCGGCACAGAGCCCGGCAGGGTGTCAGCGGAGGGGATCCATCCCTGTCCCCCATCCCGCGTGCCCGCTGCGGGCTGCAGGGATGTGCGGTACTCACATAGTAGGTGTTATCGTCCTCGTTGTAGGCCAGCTTCACCACCCCGTAGGAGCCCTAGAGAGGGGCACAGCCATGGGGACCAGTTAGGGACAGTCCAAAAAAAACCCCACGGCACCAAAGCGGGCTCTGGGCTCCTCCGCAATCCCGGCCCCACCGGGATCATGGAGCTGGCGGGCGATGCCGGGGGTAGTGGGACGCACGGGTTGGAATCACACTGCCGGCAAAGAAAAGCTTCAAATGCCCCATTTCATGGGAGGGAGGGGGAACGGGGAAAATTAATAATCATTTTAAAAAATATGCAATTCAATCGGCACCACCCAGAAGAGACCGGTGTCGCAGCGAGGAGCCGGCCGAGTTGCCATGGTGAGCGGCTGAAATTGCCATCTCACCGGCTCGCCAGCAAAAGCGAGCCCAGTGCCCTCCTGCCCCAAATCCTCCCGTCTCACCCCAAACCCGGCCAATATTCACCTTCCCAATCTCATCCTTCAGCTTGTACTGGTTGAGCTGCACACAGTCCTGCGGGGAGAGAGAAGGGGTCCGACACGAGCCGCAAAACCGCTTGCATTTGCTCTCTTCCTTTTAAACCTCCAGCAAAACTTTCTCTGCAAACTCACACCCTGTTCTGCTCTGCCCGGGCACCCGCTCGGGGCTGGGCAGCTTTGATTCATGAGCCATAAACGCCAGCCCCCCAGCCACGCGTCGGTGTGTTTATAGATGGCTAATTGCAAACGTTAACGGCCGGGCAGGCGATATTGTCCGCTCACGTGGAACGAGAGCGCACGACGGGCGGGCGGCGGTGGGGATCAGCAGCTGGGAGAGCCCCAGGGGGTTTAACACTGGTGACCCGGCGCCGAGTATTTTTATTTCTTATGGGCAAAGCAGCAGCTTGCTGCCTGTTTTCTGTCAGCGCCGG